TCATGGGAAGAGTTGTATGGTTGACACATGCAACTCAATTTACGACTAAATTGTGACCATATACGGTCGTATACTGCACTCGTGCACGATAGTCGTTTATTTTCAACGTATTCGTTGATCGTATTTGAACGTATGACATCGTATACGTTCATCATATACGATCGTTGTATACCACGACCGTTTCTAAACATATTTCGTCGTATACGACCGTGTACGATCGTGCCTTTTTGACCTGGGATATATACAGAAACTTTTTCTTTTCGTTCTGTCGTTCGTATATATATATATGTATGTATATATGCGTATGACATAACGAAAGAAAAAACTGAAGAAAGAACAAAAAAGTTGTTCTTGCAGGGAATTTTATATTAAAAAAATTTTGCTTGGGACTATACTATACCCCGCGCTCATATTCTAGGGTAATACTCCGTTTTTTGCGCTCTTTCTAACGATACCAATCTTATGCATTAGACTTTTAGAAAATTTTTTTCGATGGTTTCATATATGTTAGTATCGTGTTAGTATGAAGAACGAATGAAAGAACAAGAAAAAAAAAAAGGTGAAATCACTAAGGAAAAAAGAAGTATAGTGTGATAATGTTGTCAATATTATTTCGCGCATACTGCGATGCTCATTGGTTATTTTGTTCAGAGTTACTTTTCGGCTGTACGAATCACGCATGAGAGAGCAAGCAAACGATAGTTAAATTCACACACTGCAAACAAACAAGTCATGGGCTACTATTCTTACGCTCATTTTTCGCGATATGGTTGAATACGCGAAGGAAGACAACTTTTTTAAATATATATACACATGATTTTGCTTTACTTTATACATAGAACAAGATTGATACTAAAGTGGTGCACTCGTCGTGACTAAGCAATATTATCTACGAATACAACAAGTCAATGTATGTATATATGAAACTGAAGTCTATATAGGTCTCTTTAGTAATAAGCATAGAGAAGATTTTTCTGTGGTTAAGTAGTATCATTTACAATGAACAGTGTTATTTTCTTACCATGGTAATTATTTTCTGGCGTCGACAATGTTTAGAGATCCTCGACGAAATGAATGGCAGAAATCAGCTATTATAAAGCGAATCACCTCACAAACGATGTATAGTTATTATTGGCAATCTGTCTTGCCGCTTCCACCTTAGAGATAAAATTACTCACAGTTCTATTGTTTAATCATTTGAAGATGTTTGATCTCGCGGAAAACTGAACAAGATATTGCAGGAAAAATAAGTTGTTCATAATTTTTTGGGAAACGGTTCTCGTTCAGTTTAGGGGTGATACTTTATCTTTATCCCATTTATATTGAAGGGGAAGATAAATGCATCATTAATAGTTAAAAATTAAGATAGAATAAGGAACTTTTTACTGCCAATGGTGCAATGGAGTGAATTCTATGATCAAAAAAATTGAGTCCTAATTATTTTACTCTAGTTCATTTTGTACTCTCACGAATCAATTTTCAACACTAGGAGTATCACATTTAACACTTACCTCGTAAGTGGTAAGTGTTATAATCATCAAAAACTTATCAGTATAATACTAATAAATGAGTGTCTTAATTATTGATTATTTCTTCTTGAATGGTAAGTGGTAAGTGGTTTGTATCTAATTGAAAACAGACTACTCACGATACATTGGGTGTGAGTGTGGGTGGGTGGGTGTGTGTGGCTGTGGCTGTGTGTGTGGGTGTGTGGGTGTGGGATGTGGGTGTCGGTGTGGGTGTGGGTGTGCGTGTGAATGCAGAAAAGAGACACACCCACACCTAAACCCACACCCAAATTGTGTTGATCTGTACATTTTTTTAAGAATATTCTAAAAATTAAAAGAAAAAGAAGAATTTTATTACTTTAAGTCAGGATCAACAGCTATTATAAGACTTCCTGTCAACTGTTATACGATTTTCTAATATGGAACGATGAAGAGTTGATGACTACAATTCATAGTAAGAAATTAATTGCTAGCTTTTACTTCGTTCATAGTTTCGCACATATTATCAATCGATGAGGGTGTGGGTGTGGATATGAGCGTAGGTGGTGGGTCTGAGTGTGAGTGCAGGCACAAAGTATCTTCGCATTGACACTAGAGTCCTGCACGGGTACTACTTTTCGCACCCGGACCCGGCCCGGCTCATTTTTTTTCAAACCCGGAATCCGACCGGACCCGGTTATCTTCCACCCGGAACCGAACCGGACCCGGATAGCTCTACCCGGTACCCGACCAGACCCGGCCCAGCCTTGAAATAGTCAGCACTTGATTGTTATTGTCAAAATTATATTCACTTTTCAAACTTTTATTTCATATGGCAAAATATACTATTATTTTAATTTCATCAAGTAACAATTTGTACCCGGACCACAGTTCCGGGTCCGATCGGGTGCCGGGTATCCGGCCCCGTTGCAGGACTCTATCCTAGAGTGTAAAATACTTTTACTTGTTAAGATGTCATCGACTACCGGTCGGGTACCGGGTATGCTCAAATCCTCACCCGACCTGGCATTTTTTTTTATACCCGGCACCCGAACCGACCCGGCAAATTTGTACCCGGACCACAGTTTCGGGTCCGGTCGGGTGCCGGGTACCCGACCCAGTTGCAGGACTCTAATTGACACCCATATCCACACTGTAATATCTTCTGATTCAAGATAATTAAGTACTTTTTGATGAAAATGGAGTGTTCCATTATCATGATAAGGTTTAATTGAACGAGTACCGTAACTCCATATTTGGCTCTTGATTGCATTAATAACGGGATGTAAACAATTGTTGATATAATATTCGTAACCGATAGTTTGCCCTCGTTGAACATAATGTATCAGAAGTAGACCAGTTAAGTTAAAGAAAATGCATATCAATGTTCTTGAAACGAAACGACTACGTCGAGCTACCGTCGGTGGAGGCTCTCCCTTTTGCACCCAAGCAGCATTCGATGATTTTCTGCCAGTTTGTTTATGAAAAAATCATGATTCATCGTTTTTCATCACGTCACATAATCTGCACGTTCCTTGTTCAAAGTTTGATAAGTTTTCTTTACATATTCAAACTTGTTCGGTTCGTGAAGAATCGCTCAAATGTTGAGGTATATAATGAATGGTATACTTTTTCAGCTTCAGATGATCGGATACTATTCGATATACAGTGCCATGACTCAGACCAATTTGCTCTTGCAGTTCATCGACTGTAACAAAAGCATCATAATCGATAATGCTTTGAACTTGTTCAATATTTTCAGAAGTTGTCTCGGTCACCGGTCTACCAGGGCGACCTTCGTCTCCAGCTTCTTCCTGATCTTCACGAAACCATTGAGACCATCTAGCAACTGTTCTATAAGAAGGCGCTTCGTCACCAAAAACAGTGTATAATTCATCATGAATAGTTCTTGCTTCAATATCAAGTGCAGTACGCACTTTAATGTAGAAACGGAAATTCTCCTTATCCATGTAAATAGACGAGAATGATGTGAGCATTAATTTAACTTTAGCCCTTTCACGCTCTTAAAAACGTTAACGGCAAACAAGACACGTGTCTCTCTAAATGTATATGAATAAACAATTAGGTATGAAAGACGACGAGAAGAAAAAGGAAGAAAGAAAGAGGAGCAGAGAGCAGAAAGAACATCAACGAGTGAATATGCATCAGACAGAAATATGATGTTATGTTATTATCACATATCATAACAGATACTGTTTATCGAAGTTTTCCTATCATGACATAGTTTAAAAGTGAATCACTGTCACAGAAAGATAGAGCGTTATTTTTAGTACCACTACATACAAAAAGAAAATTTCCTTCAACATACTATATGCTGATAAAGTATCAGTGCCACTACTTTTGGAAATGACCTAAGTCATGCCAAAGCATTAAGTTAATTTTTTAACTCTAATACAAAAAACATTGACGCTCTCTTAACATTAATGCTAAGCAAGCACCTTTACATATTCGACAATATAGTCCAAATATATGGACTTCTATTCAATATATACAAGAAGAAAGAAACAGTTTTAACCCTATTTCTATTCATGTTCTATGTAATCTGGAAGCTAGTTTGGAGACGGCTTTAAAAAAAATCAATATAACAGCATACTGATCGAATGGTATAAAAAAAGGTCGTAACACAAAGTGTTGAGAGTGAAAAATGTAGAAATAATTAATATTGAAAGTGCTATTAATGCAACATTAACATATCTTCATCAATAACACCCGAATAATCTACAGTAGCATTTATGTCCTGCACTTAAATATGAATATTGTGTGATATAGCTGCCTTAATAGCACTTGCGAGATTTTTCGTTTCGACGTTTTTTTTATACATGCCAATTGATACCCTACATCTACATCTTCAAAATAACAATATTTTTGTTGATGAGCTTTTTTAAAAAAATTGACCTATCCAGCCGTGAAAAATAGTCCATCGAAAAGAAAAAGCGTTGTTCATTAGTCCTATCTGTAGCTCGGATATTTCATTGATTTATTTATCATTTCAATTATACTATGGCTTGTCCTGTTCCATTCAGTAAACTTCTTAATGATTAGTCAAGATGTACACGTTAATGATTTTTTTATTCTCATAGCATTTCTCTTTCGACCTTCCTTTTGAGGTTATTATTTTTTTCGACATTTTTATTTTGGTAATTTTCATTCTTTTTCTTTTGTCTTTTCCCATCATATCATCGCAATTCCTTCATGCATATTTAATCATTTCTGTTTAATAGGAGCAACCAAAGTTCAATGAAATTAGTTTTAAATTCACTCGAATCTAAACAAAGAAAATCATTAACAAATATTCGCAATTTCTACATTCTCATCATACATCTATTTATTCTATTTCTACTACTCTTCGTATTTAATTACTTCTCAAGCTTTCAAGCGTCTCATAATGTTTCTGATCTTTCTTTAAATCTTCACAATACGTTCAAGCCACTTTCTAAATTAACATTATTGCATATCAATGGAACTATCAAACAGATTGGTCCAATTAAACAGATGTACATCATTAATTTACCCAATCGTTCTGATCGAAGAACAAAAATAATTGCTCTCATGCAAACACTTCATTTTGATGCTTTCATAGTACCAGCTTATACCATACATTCTTCTGAAGTGGTTTCTCGTAAGCATCTATTACATAATGGTCGAATAACATTAGTCGAACTTGCTAGCTGGGCAAGTCATATGCAAGTTTGGTCAGAAATTACATTTTCCAAAAGTAATGACAGTTGGTATTTAGTGTTTGAAGATGATATTGATCTTGAAACATTGACAACAGAAATACTTCAATCATTTCCTGATGATCTATGGCGTAAACCAGATTTGGTCTATCTTGGCTCTTGTGGCAATATACCTGGTTCAAAAATCTATGAAGGAGCGTATGGTTATCGTATACATCAAGCACTTAACCCAAGCTGTCTGCATGCATATGCAATTCAACCACAAACTGCTGCAAAACTTCTTAATCTATTATCTTCACCAAGAAGAGCAGCTGATGATGAAATTGTTCTTCTATCAAATAGTCAAAAACTATTGGTATATAGTATTCATCCACCATTAGCATTACAAAGATTAACTACACCTTCAAATCCATCTGATCTACATCCAGAAAAAGTCTATCGGCTGTCTCGATTCAAAGCAAAAATCGATTCTATGATTCGATGGTGGCGAGGTGTGGAATTAGTAGATAAACTAAAAGATTCAGCATTAGCCAAAGCCAATATAGATAAAGCTGTTGAGTGGAGAGAGAAAAATGAACATGGTACTTGGAAGAATGCAAACAGAAATACTTCTGATTGCGATAGATGCTGAATATTGAGAGAAAAGTAGATTTCTCGGATGCCATGTAAGATTGCTATGATTATTTTAGAAATAAATTTTTGAAAGTCTTGTTAAATCTATGTTATATTGTGTGATTGTTGTATGGTGATTGAAGTCAGATATCAATATAGGTCATTTCATATTTGTATGAAAACTTGACAAAGAAACAGAATGATGGCAAATGACCATATAATAATGTGGAATTCTCGATCTTCAGCAATAATTATCATCAGTTTATTGACGAAAGTCCAGAGGATCTATTGACGAAATTTCGGTAGATATTCGCTAGTTGGTCAGAACGAAATGAAAGTTGTGCATATGGCAGAACTGTATCCATTACTATTAAGATGTATCGTAAAGAATATATTTGAAATGTATTCGAATTCGATCATATCAACTTTTAGTTATAAGATGTTGTATTAGAAAAGAAACAGTAAATAGCATGATGTAAAACGACATAGGGATGAGAGAGAAAAAACAAGATAGAATGAAAAGTGCGAGTGAAATACATGAAAAATGACTTTATCAAGAAGAATTCAGTCAAGATCTACTGATAAATATGTTGATGAACTTGAAAAATCATATTCAGAAAGATTTCTTTTTAGTTTTTTTTCTCTTTCTCCTCAACAAACAGATTGATCAACAAGATAAGCAAGGGACGTTTATATGTCAATTAACGATCTTTTCTTTGAATTTAATCAAAGTAACGGTGTTTTTGTTAGCTTACTTTTACATGCTGCTAGACGTATTGTTGACTTTCAGGATTTAGTAGATGAAAAAGACAATACCAACTGAACCATTGAACAAGATACAACACTTCTTATATTAAGCATTGTAAAAAATCTAGAGATCAGAGCTGCCAGCCTGCATCGGCCTACCAGCCTGCCAGGCCGAATTTTAGGATTTTAGCCTGGCCTGCATCAAACCAGGCTAGATTTACCCTGGCCTGCAGGCCAGGCCAGGCCGAAACTTGTGGCCTGAATGATATGTAGTCAAATTTTTTATGCATTGATCCATTCTGATTCGAAGTGGCATCGCAGATTTAAAATACTTAGACAAAGTGATTGCAGTTAAATTTCTATTTTAAAATTTATACAAATTTTAAAATGACATGCTTTAATTTTAAAACAAACACCTGTTGCACGTCTCGATTTACAATATCTTATGCGAGTCTTTTTGTAAACAGAATTGTGAATGTGTGACCTCACTATGTCCTACGATGAATGACAATGATGATCATTAGTGATATTCAATGGTCTCATCCATTCTGTCTCAGTATTAACAATGAAGATTCAAAGTGGTACCTAACTCCAAGAGCTTACATCAACTCAAAAGGCTATATTTTTTCTTTAGGATAGATGATTCTTGTAAACTAATTTGCTTGTTTTCGTATTTTTATGCTGACTTATTATTAAGTTAGAATGTGACTCAATAGGGAAGGATAATGTATTCTTATACAAAATGAAATTGACAAATAATAAAATTCAACAAGCATCATTCAGCAAACAAAGAGAAACAGCAAACATTTCTGACTTAGATTAATACTATTTGCTATTTTTCAATTTTTATGTTATATTTATTACAGTATATGTTTTCCACTGCTGTGGAACAACCATGATGAAAGTAGAATGGTTTTGAAGGAATAACTGTCTGCATAAGCAAGACTATTCTTTTCAGCAGCGTATCTTTTGATTTTCTATTTCTTGGAAAAGTTCGCAATTTCATTATCTTAATTGAGAAGAAATATGCGATCACGACTAGCATGAGATAATGAATAGAAGTCTGATGCCCATTGTACAATTGTATCCATGAAAGTAGTAAAATATTTGATAAATTTTTTCTGTTCTCTCAAAAGCCTGCAGGCCAGACCAAGCATCTTATTCTTAGCCTGGCATGTTGGCAGCTCTGCTAGAGATCTGCATATGTGTACAACGCATGGAAAAATCTCTTCAGCATTGTTTTATCTTCAAGAAAGTTGTTTTTTCGCCATGAACCATTACTAACGGATGACGTCGATAGTTTAAAATAAAGTACTCTAATAGCATGTTTGATAAAAGTGAAATCAATCGCCAGTTATAACTGTCTCTACTACCTAAAGTTCGGAGACAGAAGAGAATAAACATTTTTAGATGTTCTGCTTCACAAAATTAGAAGGAAAACATACTTCTTTCACAACAACATTCATAAAATTCTTTTCGAAATCACAAATTACAGCTGTAAGATGTGGGTGTGAGTGTTCATAAAAAGCTGCAATAACTACTTAGACAATCACACTGTAGAATTATATGATAATTAATTCGTAGTACATCATACACTTTCACCTTTGCGTATAACAAATCGAAGTAATTCTGAATTTTATACTGATTATCTTATGCATTCAATTGCTAAAGCTGTAATAGATCAATGACTATATGTATCAAATAATATTATAACAACAAACAGAAATTCTTTTTCGGGTTTAATAAATATAAAAAAAGAACTTTTATGCATATAATTAATGAAAAGTAGAAAAGTCGTGGAAAAGGGTATTCGTGAATATTATTGATAAAACACAATAAAGAATAAAAATTCGTTCAAAATAAGGTTGTCTTGCTGGCAAGTTATTGAAGATTTATGAACTAGAGTGAAGAAATGTTGAAACTGTCCTGTCATGATAAAAAGAAAAGATGAGAATACCAAGTTGACTTCAATAATATCTGTAACTTAATTCGAATTATCATTACTTTTTTCAACTCATATAAGAAAAGTTGATAAATGCTGTCGCTAATCTCTAAAAGGTTTTGGATTTCTTTTGTGATTTGATTCAACTACTGGATCCGTTTCTAAGTGCTTTAACTTGTTGGATAATTCGTGCCTCAGATTTCGATCTAAAACTTCACAAAGTCTGAACAAAGTTTCTTTGAGATCTACAATGTCGATCAAAATTATTCATACAACTAAACAAAATAAAAAAGACATTATATATCTTTGCGATAATTGGGGCTTTTGAATTGCAGGTTTTATTAAAATGTACCAAACTATGTATAGTACATTTGTAGGTGTGACTGTGGGTGTAGCTGAGGATGAAGTTACCCACACACCCATACCCACACCCACACCCACACTTTCGAGTAGTCTAAAATCGATCATCCATTATCTCCTTTGATAAGGTGACACAATCGAAGAAATAAAAACAAAGATCGTCGTGTATCAAAAAACATTATCGTCGCATCAAAAATTGGTCATAAAAAGTTTTGCCCATTTTGAAAACAAAACATGCGTATATGGGATAATCTTTGTATTGTACAGTTTTTCATGCTGCATCATACCTAAGTAAAAACAATCACAAAAAATCATTTCTAGATCGATTATTTCCATCACTGACAATTAGAATCGATTTAGTAATGATTTTCTGTGATTATCTCTGCTTAAATCTTTAACTATAATCGTATGATTACGATCGATTTTTAATCCATTATATCGTGATTATTGAAAAGTGTTTCTTTTTTACATCGGTGTAGTATATTTGGTTTTTTTAATAAAATGTATTAAATGATGAAAAAATAAGATACAAACGGCGGTCATTTATTTTGGCCCACCCGTTATTTTAGTCAGTATGAAGCAATTTTTTCATAATTTTACCTTTTTCTATATGATATGTTGTCCGATCTTAGATGACTCACACTATATTAGCAGATTATGCACTTACTCTATGATTTCGGTCGAAAGATCAACTGTTATTCTATAGATACCAAAAACTTATAAACTTAATTTACAGTCGAGCGAGATACTTCCCGTTCGTAGCAACTTTCTGTAAGCATGTATTTTACACCAAAAACGTTTGCTTGTATTGCTCTCACCGACTTTTACCAAAGTGATTGTCGGAAGAACGACAAAAGTATGTTGAGGCCAACAACGAACATATGATAACTATGTGTCTTTTCCAGTTCCCGAATGAGTATATTATGTAAAAAGATTCCGGATTTATTCATTGGTTCGAAATTTTATATAGGTATCGCTAATGGGAAGTGCATGTACTAATAAAAGCATGAAAGAAATGTCGCTTAAGCCATTTTACAGCATACTAATATAATACTTCTATGTCTGTAAAGTATTCTTCTAATGGGTATCCTCATAGCTTGTACTCTTCACATACGTATGTGCTTCCTTCTTACAAAAATAAACGTGTTCACTTCATTACTACTTTCTAAAATCGATTAAACATGATTCTTGTTTTGGATGAATTTTCTATTGGTTAAAACCAATAATAACCGACTTATTTTCTCTAAATTATGTTTTGGAAAAAGCACTTATATTGGTCATAGTCATGTAGATCATATTCGTTCTAGAACTTTTGTGCTAATAAATATTGTGACATTTTTGTCCATCGTAGTTATACTAGTAATCAATACTTCGACCAAAATCCCTCCTATTAGTATAAATCGTTCGGTTCTGCATAGACTTTACTGATATTCACCAACACCCTGAAAATTGATTGACGTTGAAATCACATTACAACTAAGATGATCAAGAATACTTGATGAAGTAAATTACTTTTTCAATCGATCGTAATCGGATTATCATGAAAAACGTGGGAGTCTCGTAGAAAAATTAGTATTGTAGACGGATAATCAAAAATAATCCTGATTTTCTCAAGAATGTTTTTTACTGAATAAGACATGACTTTTTTGGACAGTAAAAAGAATGTATTTGATGACTAAATGTCGTAGATGTATAATCGTTGATTAAACGGTTCTTTTTTTTATCATTGATTGTCACATGACAATAGAAAAAAAAAGAAGAAAAGGATTATTTCAATGCATATACGGCTCAAGGTTTGATATATATAGAAAGGCATTAAGATGAAAATCGATGCATGATTTTTTCTACATTGCCGACGATATGCATCATTGTCTACGAGAAAAAAACACTCGTTGATTGCAAAAAATAAACCTATCGCTCTCGCCATGCGTGAACAGAAAATGTTTTTTTTTTGTAAATTTCTCCTTGTT